AAATTAACTAAAACCGTAAGCAACAATGAAAGTAACGCAATCAAATAATATATTTTTCTTCTATCAATAAATGTAGATTTATTTTTTAATTTTATTGTATTAACCATTTATTATATGAATTAACATTCATTATTAAATTATAATTGAAAACAAATTTAAAAATACATTGGTATATATGTATTTTTTCAAACGCACTTACTGAAAAAGAAACTTCATATGATTTTATTTTTTGCACAATAGTGTAAATAAAATAAATAATCGAAATAATTATTTTAATTTCAAAAACTATCAGCAAATATTAAAAAATAAGTATAGTCCTATTAGACATCTATAAAATTAGTTTAACGTGAAATGGAGCTTTAAAATGTTCCAAAGTTAGAATTAGAATGACTTATAATTTATAATATATTCTTTTTTATTGAACAAGATATTTATAACCAAAGAATTGATATTGTAAATAATATATTCTAAAGTAAATACTCCATTTATAATAGCAAATGATTATCGGAATAATCAAGAATGGAAGTACTTTCATTATAATGATCATTATATGTAGGGAATTATATAATTTTAAGTAATGTAATAATGTTAATGCATACACAATAAGAATAAAATTAATTATATAGTAGATGTGGATTTAATAATCTAAAATATATTCAGGATAAAGATTTGAAATTTACAGTGATTATCAGAATATAGACAAAATCGCATCAGAACATATTAGAAAAATTATTTTATAAGAAAGAATAATAGATAATTTATTATTGTGACAAGTACTGAAACATGTATTTTAATAAACAATATACACCTTTTATTACAATTTTATTTATTAAGTAGCTACACACACACATATATATTTAAATACACGATATAACGCAGAAAATATATTTACAAAGCTCCTCTTTAAATTATTTAATAATAGTGAATATGCTATGTGGAAAAAAGTATAGAACATGTATAAAAAACAAATATAAGTGTATAGATCTTAAGCTAATAAAAAGTGTTATAGGCGGTACAGTATTTATTATCCTCAAGTTCATTGTTATGTATTATTTGACAAATATCTAATTTTTGTAAAATTAATTATTAATATAATAAAAGTAATCCATACCGCTGTTAACATTTTCAATTAATACATGACAATAGTTTATTGTTTCCATTATCGTCGAATAAAAAATTGTAAATTTTATGCCTTTTTTTAATAAATATTTCGATTTTCATACTAGTGCTTTGTCTTAAATCTTAAATCTTCAGTTTGTTTAATCAATCTGTTTAATGTAAGGAATTGTTTTAGAATTTAATGTTAATTCATATTATTTTATTTTAATGATTTCAGCATCAAATTTAGTTTATTATTCAATATTATGTAATAATATATTTCTAATTAATTAAATGAAGGTTTAAGTTTATTTTTTTATTAAATTTTTAATTTAAATTTATATAATCCTTTTGTTCAGTAGCTTTTGCAACATTTCCTTATTGTTTTTTTTATAAATTCTATTGCTTATAAAGGTTATTTTATATCCAATGCCAATCATTTATATCATCATAATACATGTAATTTGTTAAGATTTACGTTTGTATTATTTAAATAAATGTCAAATTTCATTTTTCATGAACTTTGAATTAATAAAAGTATTGTGTATCATTTATTAAAAAATACTTTTATAATTTAAGTTCTTTTGGAGAACAATAAATATCAACGAATCATTGTTTGACTTTACTACATTTGAATTTAAGTCTAATAAAGTTGGAATACTATCGAAAAAAAATTTTCTCTGAAGTTTTTGTTTATTTTCTCAATTAATTTTTCTTTCTTTTCTTCTTTTAATCTTTGCAATTCCTTACTTGAAAGATTCAAATTCAAATTTATTATATACTAAATTAAGAACACCTATTGATAAACTGTAAATTATTGGTACTTAACTATTTACGACTTTAATTATAATTAATTTTTTAGATATAATTGATGATTTATATAAATGAAAATTTAATAACCGTGTTATTACTAAAATTCTCGATAAGCCATCTATTGACTTACAAATGCTTGGATATCAATACTGTGGACTTCAAATTAAATCAGATGGAATGCAATAATAACTACTTCTTTTAATAATTAGTTGTGCTTGAAATAATATAAAAATCTTCTAAATATTAACTAAAAAGTATATAGTAATGAAACTAAAGAAAAAAGGAAAAACAATTATTTTTTTAGTTTAATTTTATGTATGTTGCAATACTTTTTTATAAAAAAGTACCAATATGGATTTTCCAAAATAAACAAAGATATTGAAAATTCCAGACTCATGGAATATTAGGAATAGCTCAGGAAATAGCTGATAAATTATAGACATCATAAAGGATATAGCAATTATTAATCTTAATGAGTACGAATTCTAAATGAATTTAGTTTTATAATTCAAATATGCCATTAGTCTTATATTTCAATAGTTTTCAATAATCTAAAATCTTCTTCATATATAATGAAATATTTGACAATTAATCGGTTCAATTATAAAGCATTTCAGGATCGTAATATATACAATCATTATGTATGTTAAGTTGTTAAAAAACATAGTTGAGTATTCATTTGTATTGCACATGTGTTTACTACTTTATTACTTATTAAGCTTCTGTGAGTGCAATACTTATTTTAAACATATTGTTTAATTAATTGAAATTCATTAAACAATAATTATATTATCAATTTAATTAATCTTAATGCTAAATATCATCCATCACAGTAGTAAGTTACAGATTTTATAGTTGCGGAAAAATAGTCAGGCTATCAATAGATAATAATAAAAACAAACATACATAAATATATGTTTTAAAACACACACATATATATATATAATACAAAGCATATTTTAAAATTTAATAAAATACTTTATATAATATGATAGCCTCCAGTCAAAGGATTACATTTCGATTGCATAATCTTGTATAACAATGTCGATATATTGCTGAAGCTAAGTGTCACAACATTACACCCATATATTTATATAAATAATTAATGATGTATGTTATTTATAAGTTGTTCATTATAGTATTTAAACATTCTATTACTGGTAAGTATATCAATAATATGAAATTTGATATATTATTATAAATTGGAAGTAGAATTATATATAGAAAATTGAGACGGAGTCGTGGTTCATTTTAAGAAGAAGCCATAACAATAAAATTGTAAATTAAAAAATCAATCGTGGTTATTTAACAATAAAAAATACAGATATTTATGTGCAAATCGTCCTAAAAAGTTTTTATTGTAAATATTCAATTATTGAAAAATTTAGACTTAATAATAGTCATTAGTGAAATATATTTTTTAATTTTCTTTATAATAATCCAGATCATGAAGAATATTTTAAATATTCAATCACGTTTACCATCTAGCAATTCATTGCATATGTAAAATCCACAAGTTTCAACTAAACATAGAGATAACTTTTAGAAGATAAAAAGTAATTAATAACAATCACTCTGATAATTGTTTTCACAATAGTCTCATAAAACTATTTTTTTAACTCTCAGTGCTATTTCAACAGAATTCTGCGCTAAATTTTATCACTTTTAATAATTAATACTTTATAATGTATGATATATATATTAATTTTCAAAATGAGATCATAATAGAAATTTTGAGCGACCGCTAAAGCGTAAAATTATTAATAATGTAGTATTTATTATGTTCACATACTTTAAATACATAAAAATTGAAAAATACAAATATTGACTGATATTTTCCATTTTTCTATATTTCAATTTTCTAGGAATTCTATTTTCACTATTCTAATCAATTTTACATAGTTGTATGATTTAATGTTATCCAATTACTAAAAATACTAAAAAAATTTACAAATGAAGAAAAATTATTTAAAAAATTAAATGAACAAAAACAATTAGAAAATGAACGATTTAAAAGTATAAAGATTCTCATAACAGTTGAGTTAACAGCTTTAACAGAGTTAAACTTGAGATAATAGTGCCAAATTTAAACACAATTGTTTTTAATCTTTTATTTTATAAATTAATTGATGATATATATAATAATAAATAATAATTATATTATTAATAATATCTCAATATATAGTTACAAATAGTTCAATTTTTTATGTATAAAAATATATAATATATAATTATAAATCCCAAATACATATGATAAATACAGTATATATTTATAAAATTAAAAATTTATTGTTTAATTAAATGATATGGTATATGTAGGCAACCTTTAAAAAGTTATCAAAATTTTAATTACACTATAAACTCTTATTTAAATTTTTTATTCTAAAAATTTTTTAAACATATTTCTACTTTAAATTCCTAAATTTTGAAAAATTATCTATAAACATTTTAAATATAAAAATAAATAAAAAAATTATTCTTAATAAATAAAGTAAAACTAGAAATTTTAACCTTATCTTTAAAAAATAATCCATATAATACAATTAAGCTTATTATACCAATTTGATCTTGACTATGTTATACGAATAAAAAATACTGATGCTTCGTTATATGTGTATATACATATATATAATTATTGTATTTTATAAATTATATTTTCTTAAATATGTATAATAATATCTTAAGATAAAATATTTTAAATAACTACACAAAATTATACCTACTTTTATATTACAGACAGCTAAGCACTAAATGTCGGTAGTCAGCAGAAAACATCACTGTTTTCATCCATTTAAGTATCGCAAAATTTAGTATCAATAATAAAATTACTGTATTAAGTAACTTTTCATAATTATCATAACGGAAATCCCAGATAAATTAATATATTTGATATACAATTTTACAATTAACACTTTAAATTTTTGTAAAATGCATTATTCTACTTAAATGAAGTTAGTGTAACTTAGATGCCTCATAACATTAGTATACGTATTTTATCAATCTTAATTTTATTTACTACAAAAGAACTTGGGAAATATCGTAAGAAATTTACACAGTATACAGATTTTTGCAATACTTTCCTCGATACAATGAATTTCATAGTCTGTTTGTTTATTTTCCTTTGTATTTCACATCAAGGTATCGTTTATGCGGAAATAGAAGGTAAATATTTAATGTAACTCATTTACTCATTGAAATTGCCAGATAACTAATTAATATAGTGCTATTTTTTTTATAGGTAGTCAAGAAACCTGTAACATTGAAGATGAATCCATCGCCGTTACCACTATATCGAATATGAATTGTTTTAATTGTATTTGCAAGGTATTTTGTTATATTTAATAAACAATTAATTTATATATTATTAAAAAATTTGAATGCTTGAAATGCTTCAGAATATTTTTTTAATATTTACTAATATTTATAAGCAATGTTTAAATATAAACAACTGTAAAAAAATATTTCAATACAATACTAATTTAACTAATCAGTAAAATAGTAATCTTTTGTAAATTTTATAAATAAATTATTCGTGTATGTGTGTGTATATATATAGATATATAATTATAATGAAATATTTTATTTATTTAAATGACGACAATAAAACATTTGAATATATTATAATCGTACAATCGAATATATTTAATTTTACAATAAACGATTATATTTTATGAAAATATTACGCTATAATTTCAGAAAGGATTTGTAGAATGTGAAAAACAAAAATGTCCTAGTATTGAAGGCTGCTACGTGTTAGAAAGAAAACAGCAAATGGAGGAATGTTGTCAAAAATGCAAAGGTTTGATTAATTATAAAACTGTCCTTACATAATTTAATAAATTTAGCTTTGAAAATATTCAAGTTAACAAATATAAAGTATCAATAAAACATTCGTTTATGCAATTTATAAAATATATTTAATATAAAAAATATAAAAAATTGATTATCAATATCGTTACATTTTTTTAATTATCTTTTATTTACTTTCACAACTTTTAGATATCCATAAATTTGTTAACAAATAAATAATTAAATAATAGTTTTATAGACTTTTATAATTATATTATTTAATTTTAAATATTTTTCTAAAAAAATTTGTATAAAAAAATTTGACTTCTTTTTTCTGTTTACAGCATTCGAGTATACAAATGATTTATATCATGAGAATAATAATGTTTAAATTAATATTGAATTTTTTGTTAATAACATTTTTATATTAAATATTATGTAACTAATAAAAGAGGTATTTTATAGGCTGTATAAAAAACGGCGTATACCATGATTCAGAAACCGAATGGATTGAATCAACAGATCCATGCAAATTATTAAAATGCCTTGCTGGAATTATAACTGAAGCAGTGATTCACTGTTATATACCATGTGAAAATCCAACATCTATTTCTGGACAGTGTTGCCCTACATGTTCTGGTAAAATTGTTTATTCAATTGTATGAATTAAATTAAAATGTTTTTGTGAATAGCTTGTTAGTTTGTATTACTATTTAAAATATAATAATTATGAAAGAAAATCTATTCATTTTACTATTTATTATTACTTAGAATTTATTTTATCTTTATGTAAAATTGTTTACTTGTATTTAATTTATCTTAAATTAAAAATAAAATTGTACTTAATCATTTTTGTGTAAATCCTCAACGTTTTATAAAATTATTTCTTATTCTAGATTGTCATATAAATGAGAAAAAAATATTCAAAGAAACACGTATAATCTCTGAGAAGGATCCTTGTGTTTCATGCAATTGTATATTAGGGAAACTTATATGCATTAAAAGGACATGCCCTGTTCTGAACTGTCCAAAATCGAAAATTTTTAATAACTTCGAAGATTGCTGTCCAAAATGTCTAGGTACCCCCAAAATGCTATTATTTAATATAATATAATATTTATCAATATTAAATGATTAATGACTATAAGTAATTAAAAATATGAGTACAACGGACAATTATTTAGTTTTTAACTAATTAAATATATTTTTAAAATTTTTATAATAAAAACTTATCATAAATATTTTTTAAAGTATTATAAATAGTATCAATCATTTTACGATTAGTCGTATAAATAAAAGATTTTAAAAAATAATTCTTAACTTAAAAATACAGTAATAAAATACCTTAATGTGCTCATGGTTGAGCATCAACCTAATGTAATTAAAAAAATTTTTATTGCTGCTTCATTATAAAATATATCATTAATGGTGCTAATATGTTTAAGGATATTTTCACTATGAATGTAATTAACATTAATTAATTAGAAGCGAACAAATTCCGTCTTATTATATTATTAATTAATTATAAATTTCAAGTATATTAAAAATAAATGTCTTGAAAAATAATGTTCTATAATATATAATTATTATATTATTTTTTTCATTCTATACATCACTTTTGATATTTTTATATCGAACTATTATTTGAATGAAATTAAATGTATTTCTTTAAATTTCTAAATTTTTAAGCATGCTTATTCTGTTGCATTAAGTATTCATTTAATTTTGAACAAATTCAATATATTAATTCATTGAATAAAATTTAATGATGAATAAGAGTAAGAAATTTGAATAATAAATAACAATAATTACAAAAGCAATAAATGATTGGATGATTAAATTATTAGATATTAGAAGGATTAAACCAGATTTAATATCTTAAAGTTGTCAAAGTTAAAAAGGGTGCTTCTTTTCAGGAAATTTTCCTAAGGAAATTTGATAACTACTTTCTAAAATCTTATGAATTTAGTGGAACATGCTTTTAGAACAAATAATCACAAAGTGTATTTTAATGCTAATTTCATCCACTACGATATTATTATATATGTCCATATATTTTACTATTATTTGTATACAGAATATTTGTTCACATTTTTATATTTTTATTAAGCTTTAAATCTCAGATTTTTGGAGAACATGCAATATTATCAATTGTCTCATTAATAGCTAACAAAAGTCCGATTTAATAAAGTCCTTAACGATAAATCTCTTCTTCGAACCAGTATTTGAAAAAGTTTATAAATCACAAATGTATGATTATCCGGCTTCAATTTTTATATTTCGCTAGTTTGTTTCATAAGAACACTTTTATTTAATTATTTCAAACAATTAAAACATGAAAAGTATAATATATTTGAAGAAATTATTGGCTTATTTTTGTACTCAGAAAAATGTTCTATCATAATATATTATTGCTAATTTTATAAAATATGGTAGTTTGCATTAGATGTAATAATAATGTTAATAATTAATTATTATTTTCTAATTAACTATTACATCCTCTTATTTCATCTTACATATAATCAACTATAAACTATTTTGATGTTTTGATATCTCGTATTGAATAAAATGAGGCTAATACGTCACCTATACTTTAATTGTATATTGATTTTAAGATATCAAAGAATAATTATTATTAATGTCCTTATTTTCAATGAACAGTGGATATTTCATATTAATTTTGTTTACATAATCAGCTTTATTAATTGATCTTGTCTTTGTATTATTTCTGTTAGTTATTGATTCTTATATTTTCACATTAAATTAAGTATATATACTATTGAAATTCTTTTTATAATTTGTTTTTTAGCATTTTTATATATCATTTTTAATTACAATAATTGTAGTTAATTCTTTAAATGTTTTCATATTTTGTAATATTAATAGCGAAAATAATTAATATAAAAAATTTATTTAAATTATATACATAATAAAATTAACTGACATCATTTAAATTTCATAATTCATAAATGTTCATGGATGGTGTCTTCTTGTAATTAATTACATTTATTATTAATTAGATAATTCATTTTCACTTTATATTTTTTTAAATTATAATATTTCATTTATTAAATATAATTAATAAATACACCTAAAGATATTATGCTTTTCTTTATAATTGATATTCAATTATTATTAAAAAATTTACAGGAACTGGAAAACTAATGGATCCACCTAAAGGTGCTTGCTTACTGGGTACAGTAATATATCAATCAGGAACATACTTCAACTTAAGTAATTGCGTATATTGTAATTGTAAAGATTCTACAATCTACTGTCAAAAAAAGAGTTGCCCAATTATGAAATGTAAACGAGAATATCAGGAAATTTTACCAGGACGGTGTTGTGCACAATGTAAAAATATTCAGAAACATACTAACGATAATTTTGTAAATGAAGATGAGAGTATAGAAATGAATATCAGTGGGAACGGTAGTGAAAATGATGATCAATGGAATAAAGAAGATTCTATTGAAAAAAAAATTACAAAAGAAGAATTAGAAAATCAATCAAAATGTACGCATGCTGAAAAAATCTACAAAGTTAGTATACATTATTTAATTAAAATGAACATATACTCATTTATTAAAAAGATTAAAATAGTTAATATTTATTATTCTATTCTACCAAAAGTAATTTATATTTATTTTCTACTATATATATTCTATTATATAATTTTATTATATTAAATTTTTTTTCAAGTATTTTGAATTAATATTTAAAAATTTATATTTCCATATTAATATATTAAGAATTGTAATATTTAAATAGTAAATATTTAAAAAAATTCAAGATAATTTATGTTCCCTAACTAAAAAATATGTTTTATAAAGGACAATTTAATGTAATAAAACGTAGTAAATGTAATAAAATATAATAAAATTAAATTAATGTAATAAAATATTTATTATATATTTATACAAAGAATGGTGCAATTTGGAATACAACTAATTGTAAGATATGTACTTGTATACAATCAAAAATAAACTGTACAACACTTATGTGTCCAGCCATTAGTTGCCGTCCAAATTCTGTTTTGAAAATTCCAAGGGGTCAATGTTGTCCACAATGTATTGAAAGTAAGTTGTAATTAATATTACATAACATCCAATACAATACAATAAAGAAATATTGATTTTATTCTATGAAACAAAAATATTTTAAATTTATTTATATAATTGTATCTACAACTGAATTTCTTTAATTAAACCAACATTATTACCCTCAATAATTTACAGAAATTTAAACACAATTATTTTATATTTTATGTTCAAATATGTATTGAATAAATAAAATTATATTTAACTACGAAATATGTAATATAATGTAATAATAATTATAAAATCTCATGCGATTATAAAGGATGGAAAGGTTGAAGATTAATAAAAAAAAAGTATGATGAAAAGGAGAACATCAAATGTAAAATATACATTATGTAATATATTAATTTTCATTTGAATTTAAGCTCGTTTGATCATTATATAAAATCGTAATAACTCTAATTATCTATTTTCCATTTTCAATTTTAATTATTTCTTATGATTTTAATTCAGTAATTCATTTCCTGCTTTTTCTATTTACTTTTTCTCTCATTATTTATCTCATCCAATTTTTTTGAAATTTGAATTAATATATTAAAAGAAAAAAATAAATAATTAAATTCAAAGTTCAATATTTTTATATTATTTTATAATTCTTACATGATTAGTTAATAACCTTCTTAAATCAATGAAATAATCTGTTTAATTAAAATTTAATTTATTTAGATTTTATACGTACGTTTAAAAATTTCCAGAATATATATTTTTCAAACTTTTTATAATGTGGATACAATATTGTAAGTTTTAACCATTCTGTGGACAGAAAAATTCTTAAATATCAATACAAAATTTAATATGATAATGTTAATTAATATATTATTTTTTAGGTCACGGAGTTTGCACAGTTTTTGGAGGGATGTACTTCCGTACATTTGACCGAAAAATGTATACATTTATAGGTTCATGTAAATATCAATTAGCTACTGACTGTGAAAGTGCAACTTTTAATATACAACTTGAAAATATAGTACTAGGAAATGATGCAACAATAAAACAAGTGTCATTGAATATTGGCCATGTAAAAGTAGATCTCCAACAAAATAGAAATACGAAAATAAATAATAAAATTGTCGACCTGCCATATCATTCAAAAAAAAAATTAGATATTTTTAAAAATCATGAAAATATTATTATCATTTCAAAACTTGGAATAAAAATTAATTGGTATTATAAAGGATTTCTTGAAATAATAGTTTCGAAGAATTATCGAAAGAAAATGTGCGGGTTATGTGGTAACTTTAATTCTATAATTGCTGATGATTTGACTACCCAAGAAGGTATCTTAGTTGAGGATCCAGCCATATTTGCGCAGTCCTGGACTGTGGGAGATCAATTTTGTCTGGAGACCAGAAAATATGGAATTCAGGACTGTAATTTACGTAAAAACCAGAGGTAAATAAAACATTTTGCTAAGAATATGAATCAAAATTTATTTAAATATAAATATAAATATATGTTTTTTTTTATAAAGTTTTAATAAAAATCAAAATAAATATTATTTTTACCGTTTAATTATATATCATTATTATCATTATTATCATTATATATATATATATATATATATATATATATAAACGCGTTTTATATTTTTATTTAATTTAAGCAGATTGTGTAATTATATAAAGGGTTCTGTTTTTGAAAAATGTTTAAAAAAAATAAATGTGACATCTTATTATGAAAAATGCCTTCAAGATATGTGTCACTGTTCTCCAGAAGATCTTCAATGTCATTGTGAATCTTTCACAAATTATGTTCGTGACTGTCGACGACTCGGAATCTTATTACCACGTTGGCGAAAATCGGTAGGATGTTAATTGTCTATGTAACATTTATAAAAATATCATTAATCTATATGTAAATTACGTATGTAAGTTATTAAATAAAAAAAAACATGAATTATTGGCTTATATATTACAAATTTTTAATATACCAAAGAAATACAATTTTCATTCAAGATTATGATATAAAACATTTAATACATTTTTGTACATATTTCAAAAATTAAACACGGAATACAAATGTATATTTATGTAAACATAATTATAAAATTTAAAAATAATGTCTTATTTTATTCATAACTCCAATATATCAAAGTTATATTTAAAATAACGCAACAAATTGATGTATTTTGATTATTTATATATTATAATTATCATGTTTCAGATTAATTAGTTTTTATAATTGCATATCTATTTCTTGATAGTTAAAATTATAAAATTAATATGTAAATAAAAATATAAAAGTTTTAATGTTTAAATATTTATTAGAACTTGAATAAATTTAATAAGTTGAAATGAACGTTTCTTATAAACTGGCAGTAAGTTTTTGATGAAGTGAAAAATTATGATCCAATTTAACTAAACTGATATTTTTAATTCTAATCATATCAATAAATTAAATACTTACAAAAATTTATTTACCTAACATATTTTTGAATAATTAAACAATATTTTACCTAATTTTTGAAAAATTATGCATATTTTACATTAATAAAATAATAATCTTACATTTTAAAACGAATTTAAACTATACTAGTAGTCAATTACAATTAAATTCTTAAGTATAAATTAAATATTTGAAATATCAAATTTTGTGCAGAAAAGTTGATCATTACAAAAAAGGTATATTACTGTATGTAAATATTAATTTTTAAACTGTTTATAAAATAAATTTTTATAAATAAAACATTAACGAATTTCAATCAGTATAAGTATTATATGTGATAACACGAATTAAATAACATAATTAAAAAAATAACACACTAACATCCAAAAAAAGTAATCCACTATGTAAATCCAATATACAGATAATTACAAAAATTCAATTGCTATGAAAATTTCATTATCAAATTAGTGATTAAGTGTATACATCTTATAAGATAGTGAACGATAAATACATATAATTGACTGAAAGTCAATTTTTTAATCGTGTTAAAACGTAAAAAAAGTGATAAAATCTTAAAATATACATTTGATTTTTTCATGTTAAATATATTAGATTTATTATGTATAAATATAAATAAATAAATGAACAAAATAAATACATTAAATATATTATTTAGAACAAAATAACAATATTTTAAAAAAGTTTTTTAATAATATATTCCTTCAAGTATTTTGTATATTTTAAATAAATGAATAAAAATGATTTATTATTTTTACTTTCATTAGGGCTTTTATGTTTAATAATTTTAAGAATTTTTCAAATTTAATATTGAAAAAATCTGTAAAAGGACGGCTGTAGATGAATTTAAGAAGTACCTTCTATTCCGACACTATTGCTGTTGGTTCAATTAAAATGAAAGACGTGAAAAGCTGATATTGTTTCTTTATACAATATAATTCATTATCTAACAATAAACTATGAAAAACTCTTATATTATTATTAATTCCTTGTATTGTAACTTTTATTTGAGTATATTATTACTGAAGTCAGTGCCAATCGTGCTAATCATTGTACTATATGACACTCGTATTCATAGTCAGTATTATATATTTTCATTATATTCCTATTGTTTTAATAAACTCAATGACGTAATACTTTAGACTATGCTATTTCATTAGATTACTTATGTTCGCACAATTTTAATTTTATTCTTTGTCTAATTTAAGTGAATATTCATTTTCAAACATTACACTAATTATTAAATTATTAAACGTTTAAATAATTTTTATAATTAAAAACTTTTTATCTTATTAATTTAATAATAAAAATTAAAAAAATATCATTTAATTTAAATTACAATATCTGTAAATTGTACAACTACATACAGGAATAGTATTTCGTCGTAATTACATATTATTAAATGTGACTAGAATGAATTTATAGTCTATTTTGCCACCTAGTTCATAGAATTCAGCAAGTTATACTTCAAAATAACATAATATGTTTAATATTACATAGATACGTATTAAATAATTAAAATTCTTGATAAGCATTTGCACTGTCGTGTTGCCAATAGAAGATTATATTCGTGAAGCAGACAATTGGATCTATTCTAAGAATAACTGTCTATTTCAATATCAAAATATTCATTTGAGTTTTCAAATTTGAATATATTAAATATTTCTTTTTAGGTGTTATCCATATAAATGAGATATTAAATAAAAATATAAATAAAAAAAATTGTGGGAAGTATTTATTTTTATATGAGAAAATTATTTAAATTAAAATATTATGGAGTCTATATTATAGACAAATATTTATAATGTAAATATTTAAAGTTATATATTTGATCAGTCCCAATTTAACGATTTAACATTTTCATTAATTGAATTTATTTACTATGACAACCTAGAATTTAGTTTTAAATTATTATCATTTTATAAGTAAATGAGATAAAACACAGAGAAATTTATTAGTAACAGTAATCTCGAAGCTATTTTCTTAATATGAGTAGATGAAACACTTTTTCGCAGATAAAAATTGATTAGTGACAAGTAATGAGTTTATAATATATCTTAAATTAGCGAGTTTTTTCTTGAGAGGATGAGACTAGTTTTATTATAGTCTTCTAAATGCACGTCATCGCTCGAGTTTTATTCGTATAATGACGTATGCTTAATTGAAATAAATTTAGTTGTAATTTTTGTTGCATGTATAATTTTCATTCTGCTTTTATTTTACGTTTTTTATTCCACCAATGACATTTACATCTTATAATTATTCAATTAAGAGCATAAAAACCTCTACTCATAGTTTTATAGTCTAGTTTGATTTCATCCCAGATAAATGTTAGGAATATGTAAATTAATATTATACATAATTTTATTACATAATATTGTACATATATAAATATAGTTTTATTTTTAAATTGATTGTTAATTGACTTAAGTAATAAAAAATAATTCAATATAATAGAAAAAGTATTGTTACAAATAATAAAATTTTAAGTTAAATAATAGTGATTTGTCCGAAAAAAATTCAAAATAATAATAAAACATAATTATAAAAATTTGTAATGCTTTTACTCGGAATTTTCACAATTAACCTTTATCGATATTTCTTCAAATATTTAAAAAAATTAATAAAATCAAAATACTATAATTGATGAAACCAATAGAATAATATTCCAATAAAATTTTCTATTAAATTACTAAACAAAACTAAATAAGACATTTGTATAATTAAACTTTGTATTCCACTTATAATTTTAATTTAAAAATAAAAGTTTTAAAATTTAGTATTAAAATAAAGAATTATGAAATTAATTTTTTAGTACATTTTTTGTAAAGTTCTATATAAAGTATTAACGTATAAGAATAGAAAATTATATTATACCATTCTACAACATTAAAATATTTCAACATAAATTATAATTATTTTTTTTGTATAATCATAAGATTTTTTATGGATTTTCTTAATGACTTCTTGCTAATTAATAATTAATACTTATTAATATTGAACAAGATAAATTTGAATATTATTCTATCAGTAGTACGAATAAAATTGTAATATTTCATTTAAAAATTAAAACTATCCCCTCTTAAGTAATTTGTTAATTAAGTTTTATTAAATATTAAACTATTTTATATTTTTATTTATTAACAAATCCTATATTTATTTCCTTTATTTGTTTTCAAAATATTAATTGTAATATATTAGTAAATTTTGAGTAAAAATAAATTACATATGTGAATATTCATAAAACAAGAGAATCTATTTTCATATTATCAAATTACATAGATTTTTGTCAGTAAAAATGATTATTTTATATTGTTAATGTTATTTTTATCCTTTTCAAGAAAAATACACCTTAAGATAATTAAGGCTTAATGCCTTAAGGCAATAATAAGATTATTGGTTAACTTTATTTTTTATATTTCCTATAAAATACATTAATTAAATTATTTATTATTTTTATATAATTTCAGATGAAACTTCTTAAGGTATTAAATGAATCAGTTGTCACACAAGAATTAGTTTAACTTATTTTTGCTCTAATGACGAAATATAATGTTATATACATTTGTGCTAAAACAACTACTGAAAGACTGTACATTATAGACTCTTATTAAATATCTCATTAATGAAAATATAAATATTTGTATAATAATTACGTTAGAAAAACTTGTTTTAATATTCACGATGACTTTAATATCACAATTAATATTTCATTAAGGTAGAAATAAAAAAAGTAGTTACATTAAATTTATTAAACTCGTTGTTGATCTAAACTATACCAATTACCGATAATTAGTATATTAAAAATTAAAAAAAAACTTATAAATAGAGATTTGCATCTAATTAAAACAATGAACTTTAATAACACTGAAATTTATTTCGAACGACGTCGACCAGTTGAATTTCGTAAAGTTTTTAATGAATTCATAGAAGCTAATGTTGTAGATTGTTTATTATTTAATGGACAATATTTTAATGTATGGGCTTGATCTCCATTGGTGCCGCAAATTGGACAGGTATACTTTCTGAAAAAAAAAGTTAAATTGATAATATTGAAATATTTCATTCTTTCTGTTTTCATAGTTATGAAATTCAAAAATTGACAATCTAATACAACGATAAATTATTAAATTAATTTGATTAATCAGCCAATTTTATTTTGAAAAATTAAAATTCTATTATTTATATTATTGTTCTATTAACCCATAGCACAATTACATCAATATTATTAAAAAATGCAACAGGAAATTAGACAATAAATAAATTTGTTATAAAACATTTTGTACTTCCTTAATATCATCTTAATAATTTCTCTGTATATTTAAAAAAATATTTAATTAAATAGTATATATTTGAATAGCAATAGAACATTTTTAATTTAAAAATTATTTTATAATTAGAGATAATCCGTACATTTATTTGGATAAAAATTAAGAAAAATGTTTCTTTTTAAAAGAATTTAAAAATAAATTGAATTGAAATAAAATTAATGAAAATAAACTTAAATAAATTATGAACATATACTAATACAAAAATTATACTATTAAAAATATTTAAACTAGGTAAAATATATAATGATTAAAATAATATCTGTTATAATAATTATTATGCATGATTTCTCTATTATTTTATATATTTTACATACAATATCAATACAAATAAAATTAAAAAAATATGAAATAATGTAATAAGATTAATTCATTAGATTCGAATGAATTGATGTAAAATATGCATAATTCGATAAAATTGATGTAATATCTTTTGATTCATATTTTTAATATAAAGTAGTTAGTTTAAATAAAAATATTTACAGTATTTATAATTTTTTTATTTTATAATAATTTCAGAGGTAAAACATCTTTTGAAAAGACCGACATAACTGTAACAAAGAAAAACAAGTATTTAATCTTTTAATATTTGTTTAGTTTTTGTATCAGTAAATGAAAATGTATAAGAATTAATAATATTAATTTAAAAGAAATAAAAAATAAACATATATAACACATTGTCATAATAATAATAACTTTGCAAACTTATATAGAATTTTAAACAATTTAATTTAAATACAAAAAGCGCTAAGCGTATCAAAATTATAAAATAAATAATTTTTTAATTTATGTTACAATACATCGTAACGTTAAAATGTAATAATTCAATAAATATTTACTAATATACACACCAGAATGAAATACTGTTAAGAGTATATAATTGATATATATTTAATATAATTAATAGTATATAATTAGAGTATATAATTAATATATAATATATAAACTTAAAATTATATCACTGATTAGATTATTCAGATGTGTAATAATCAAGTTTTAACCGACACTAAAATATATTAGTTTCGCACGTATGTGGATAAGCATTGATTATAATAAAGCTATTATTCAGTCATAGTGTTCAATATATGTATAATGCGTATTATATTATCTAATCTAATTTTATTCTAAATGAATAGTCTATAATTACTTTAAAATAATTTAAACTATTTTTTCCTATAGAATTTTATTTATTTTATATAATTCATAATTTCTTTATATGGAAAAAAATATAACTGAATAAAACAAAAAATTATATTAAATTACATACAATAAACAATAATCTAAAAATAATGTGAAATATATTTGAAAGTGTTTTTTATAATATTTTTCTGTTTTTAAGATAATTTTATAAGATAATTTTATAATATAATTTAAAAATAATTTATTAAAATTTAAAAAAATTTCAATTTCTTCAATATGAGATAATCAAAAATTATATTTTATATTGATTCAAACATTGAATTATTACTTACGATTTTTATGAAGTTACATATATAACATCTGTTCAAAGTATTATAATCTCTATAAGTGATCAGAATATTTTTTAATATCTAATTAATCTACGATACGTACCTAACATACATTATATAAAACAAAATTTATAGACATAAAATATAATAAGCTATATGAAAATATTTAGTTTTTACGTACGATACCAAATTCAAATTATGGGTTCCAAAAAAATCACTATATTTTAAAAACTGATTTTTAAATATTAAAAATAATTTGGATGATTGCGTAAGCATATAGGATAATTTGAATCCGCTAATAATAAATTTTAAACAAGAAAATTTTAAAATAATTATTTAATAACATTATAAATTTATTCTATTGATTTTATTAATAAATATACTAAAATGATGAAATTGTATTAAATTTAAAAAGCTAACAATTAAATAAAAATTTGTATACCTTAGAATGGGGCATAAAATTCGGCCATTGGTATCTTTCAGAAGGTGTGTTTTATAAATTTTTGCATCTTCGCCATTATTTTTGCAGAAAACGCATTCAGTTGGTAAAGGCTTCTTATTTTTCTTTTTGGAATAATAAAAGATTTTTGTATCTTCAAGATCTGGGCAATATTCATAATCACGTCCATTGTGCCTGAAGTCCTCCCAAATGTCCTCTGCTGAACATATGTAATGCATTACTTATTTTTTTAAAACGGTATAAATAAAATTTTAATTTTCTAAATTAACATATGGGATAAATTTTATTCAAAAATGTTCTTAATAAACTTTTATTTTAATTAATTAAAAGGAAGATTAAATTATTTTCTGTTTTCTTTTAATTTGAACAAATTATATTGCTATATTAGATATAACTAATTTTTTATATTTTGACAAACTATTTTACAATATTAAATTTAAGTTTTTTAAACTGTTTTAAATGTACAAAATTGTAATATTATTTATTATAAATTTCTAGATTTACAGTAAACCAATTATTTCTAAAAAAATTTTAATACTTTGCAAAAGATTTCGGTAGTTTGACTAATAGGAAGAAAGGAAAACTACAACATATTTTAAAGAATATTTGTATTTATTTACAAATAATAAATACATTACTATGTTAAAACACGTATTGTCAAAGTATTCATATCTTTAATTTTTTAGAATAACAAACTCGTATTCTATTCGGAAGACTTATTGTGAAACTCGAGTGAAAAGATATTATATTTTCCAAATAAATTTTTCCTTACGCTTTTTAATTTTTTAATAGTTAGTTATAGATTAAGAACTTTGAATAAAGTCAATTTAAAAAACGATAATATATTTTAACTGGTATATTTATAGTATTATACAATGATGATATTATCTTTCAAAATAAAAAAAATGCATATTTACTTAAATTTTAAATATTAGAAGACAATTTAATATAATTATTACAAATATAATATATTAGAAATTTGTAATTAAAAAATAAATCTGAAAATCAATTATTAATGCAAAAAGTAAAAAATTTGTATTAAAATTAATTTTTTAATGAAAAACATTTTATTGACAAGAAATATTTGCAATTCAGATGAAAGTTAAGATAATAAATATTTTCATAACTTTCTCCTACGATTTTAATAAAAATTTATATGTCAATAATAAATTCTAATTATTTTAAGACACCTAGAATTGAAAATAAATTTCATTTATGGTCTATCCTTTTTATAATTCATTTTTCAAATAGTAAACTACTTTTAGAAATAATATATACATATTGCACATTAATTAGAAATTATCAAAAAAATTTCACGTAATATATTTAAATTTTATTGAACGGATATTTAAAATTATGTGTATTATTAAAATGTTATTAAAAAATGACATTAAGTAGAAATGACAAGATTAATATATTTCTAATTTATCTTATTTTGAATTTTATTTATTCATTATAAAATTAAGTTTTAAAATGTTTATAAGTATACTAGATGATATTAGAATACCAAAGGAAACTAGCTAATACAAAACTGGTATATTATGTTACACTTGAAAAACAAACAGTTCAACGACGTTGTTCTTGTCTTGCATAATATGACATGTCTGCATACATATATGTAGATAAACAGAGCAAAATAAAGCTTTCAAAGAAAAAGTCGAATGGTGGATAGGTTTGGTAGAGGGGTTTACTTTTCCAAGAACCAATATTGATGCTACTTAGATTGCCTAAAAACAAAGGGAAAGGGCAAAACAAGGAGAAAGAAAAATTAGAATGTGCAACGACCGGCTCAAAAGAAACTCTGCTCTTTGTAAGGCAATCGAGTTGTTAAATTCGATTATGCAAGATGTCAACACAATATTTTGTTTATATTATATACATATATATATATATATATGATATAAGCAAAACACATAGTGTTTATTTATTTAATAAAAAACTAATAGTGGGCATAATATCAGATAATTTTAATGTTGCTTAAACGTAGGGAACTAATTATAAAGTTTTATTTATCGCTGTCTAAAAAGTGAATTATTATAAGGAATATTATACTTAAAAAAAACTTTGTATTTGAAACATTTTATCTATATAACATTTATGGATGCAAGGTAATAAAAAAATTGAATTAACTACATGATAAAATGTCTTATTTGTAATATTTTATTACATTAACTATAAATTAATGATATAAATATAAAAATTATAAATATACGTATATATAAATATAAAATATAAGTATATATAAATATTTGTAATAGTAACATTTTTATAAGTTCTTTATTTATTTAAATAATTTAATAAAGTTTAAAAATTATGGAACTAGACGAATTTATGTATTCGTACAAGATTATACAATTTAGAAATAAATTTATTGTGTTCATTGTGTATTGCAGAGTCAATATGTTATTATACTAATTATTAAATATTATATTGAAGAAAAATAGATAAAGGTAGGTTTTTATTCGGATTGAATAGGAAATATCACGAAATTGACATGATTTTTATTTTCAAATAAAAAATTGTAGATGAATAATCGAGTATCCGAATTTATACAAATTAATAAATCGGAAAATCAACTGTTTAAATTAGTTAGTTTAAAAAATATTTAAATTAATACTTTTATTAACAATGCTTTTTAATTAATTGTAATAAAATTTAATTTTCAGATGAAAATTAATCTTAATTCTATATTCTACATATTTGTAAAATAACTTAACTTTTATTCTATAACTTGTATAACATTAATAATTGTAAAAAAATAATATAAACTGAAATAATAACTTCAGTTAGAAAGCATATAGTTGAAAATTAAATTCTAATAAGAATATTCTTTATAATGTTACATTAAAGATAATTATGTATTAATATTTAATAATAATAAAGCATATTTGTCTTATTTGTTTAATTTGTTAACCATTTATATATAACAATTATTTTACAGTGTAAATAACTAGTCTATATAAAGATCATTATGTAAAGATTAAATTAAGTATATTTCGAATTTTTAATACTAAAAATAAAATAGTTTTTAATTTTGAAATTCTGAAACGATATAAATTCGTAAATGTTCATCAAATGCTAATATATTAATATTACACAGATATAGGTATTCGAATGTATAATGGGAGAAGAAAGTTTAAATAATTTTCATATTATTGGTTTAGAGTAAATAAAAAATTTAATGATAGTATACTATATTTTTTATTATTTATAAGTATAGATAGTTTTTAGTTCATTATATATATTTAAATTATTTTATAGTATATATACTATTTATATATAATTTAATAAATATAATGATATAACGTTATAATAATGTTAACGTAATATATTGTTGATATTACGTTATGCGTATTTCTATAATATGTGATTAAAATTTTTAATTTGGCTACGTAGTATGAAATTTGTCACTGCAACAATTGTTACACGTTAAATCTATATTATAACGTTTACTATTAATTTATAGCACAAGTGTATTTCAGAAAGACGAGGGTGAATTTAAAAAAAAAATAGTCAAGTTAAGCGAAGCTTTTATTAAGATAATTAAATTAAGCAGTTGGGGTCATAATGCGTTAATAATAATTACCGTTAGCGCGCTTAGTATAAGACTTCAAATGAAACGTAGAAAAGAAATAAAATCGGAATAGAATTTATCGACAAAGACAAAAAGGACAAACAGAACTCGATGTGACTTACCTTGTGGTTTAGCAAGCACATGGCTGAGACAGAAATTGGTGAAGAGTCTGTTGAGTTCATCTTCAAGACTCGGATTGAATGGAAAGAGCATTGTCTTCCAATCACATGGAAGTACGCTAAGGGGTGCACTTAAAACTCTGGCCATACTATTCAGTAATTTATGAAAATATCAGAAAGTCTAGCGAAAATGCACTATTAAGTGATATTTAATTTAACCATATAATAATAATTAGAAAACACGTTTGTTATCTAAGTGTTTGGATTTAAATTTATACAATTAACTAGTAATATCTCTACATGCTAAGTCAATTTTTATTAATGCCACAGAAGGTCGTACATTTGTGCCACCACCAGGTTATCAGTCGATTCGAAATCCTGGATGCTCTTTGGTTCTTCCACCGAGGGCGCGTCGATCTTTGGATGACTGAGAAGGAGAAGCTCAAGCGCTAATGAAAATAGGTCAGTCACTGAGGATGATTCTTATTGGTGAAAAGTGGAACTATTAAATTTAAGGCGCCTCCGCCCCTTATGAAACTCGAAAGAGAAATAAGAGCTTAATCACCGTTGCAAATTATGAATTCGTTTTTAGCAATAACATAAGGTGGCAATACTATATTACGTAATTATGATCGCTTTGGTTGTTCATCAGATGAACGGCATGTAATAAAGAAGAATTTCAAACGTAACATATATATATATATATATATATATATATATATAATATAATAACAAATGTTCATACCTTTGTAATTATTATTGTACTGTATTTGATTTGAATCAATTATAATATAAAACGCAAACATGTTTAAAGTGAAATGCATGGGTATGCACTATACCTTATCAGTATAAAAAAAGTGTATCTAAGAACAATAATTAATTTATTATTATAAATCTACTTGAATTATGATGTTTAACAGCTATTTGATAACACCTAATTTTATACATTTTTATCACATTTACCAATAATTTCTGAATAATGCAAGATAAAAATTTATTTTATTTTAACAATTATATTATGAATAATTGCTTAAATAGCGAATGGATATAGTGTGATTCTTTATATTTACAATTTTACAAATTATTTTATACTTACTTTTTATTTAATAAAAATAAAAATGATGTTATTTTGTCATGACACTTATAATTTACTTAGGTAATGATAATGTTTCGAATGATAATGCCATCAATATTAGTAATAACTATTTGTACATAAAATTTATTATTTAATTTTTTAAGTTGCTAACTTAAAATGTATGATGCCTATTAATTTTAATGATTATATGATTGTAATATTTAATAAAAAATTAAATAATTTTAGTTTTATTTTTTATTTGCTGCATCACATATTTAATACGTGATATATGTAGTTATAAATAATTAAAAAAAAATATTCACATAAATTATTATAAAAAGAATTTATTTTAATTATTACATCGTACTATTATTTTAAAATAAAATAAACAAATTTAAAAGAATTATTTACAAAATAATTATTAAATTTAAATTACATATTACATTAAAAGTTCGAATAATCGAAAATTAAATATGTATCACCTAAGATTTTTACTAGGGTAATAACCATAAAATTTTGAAATTCATAAAAAATATATAATTGCATATCATATTTATAAAACTTCTTTAATTTTTCTCAAGTACCACATTTGGAAATTATAAATAATTACCACAAAATAATGTTAAAAAAAATTCTCTTTATTTTAATTTCACGAGATGCAGATTATATACGATTAGTAATATAAATTTACCATTCATTTAGGTTACCAAAAAACTTTTTTTAATAAGCTAATACCAACATTTAGTATACACATATGTGCAACTATTTTATAAAAATTTATATTTTTCATTAAATGTATTATTAACGATAACAATTTGTTAATTGTATTTTAAAAGCGCTAATATAATTTGGTAAGTACCTTAATATAATTAAAAATTCGTTAAATTCTTAAAAACTTAATAAATCATTAAAATCTAGATTATCTATTCTATTACTGTAAATTGTGCAATAAATAAAACTATTAATTTTATTATTTATATTTAGAATATTTTGCTATTCATGTTGATTTCATATGTTTATAAATTCTACTTTTTTTTATTTTAAGTGTAAGATTATCTATTTTTATATTACTAATAAACTTTTTTATATAGATTAATTTCTTTAATATTAAATTACAAAATAAACAAAGTTTAAAATACTGCCTAGACAATTTGCAATTTACTTATTTTTTAATAAAAAGTATATTATGTAATAAAATTTTTAAGCATATACAATTTATAAATAAAATAATATATACAAATTTAAAAAGTTCTCATAACTAATAAAGTCTAATGAAACTTTAACTTCTAATTTATTTACTAAAATAATTTCAGTATTATGATATTTTATTGAATAAATAATTGTTTTTTTACTCTTTTATTTGTATTCTTTTAAATTATTTGAAAAATATAAAATATTGAATTGAATTAATTAAAATAATTAAAAATTCTTTTATATAATTATGTATAAATATAATCTTACCAAGAAATATTTTTAAATTTTTCTTTTACATTTTTGTATTAAACACAGGCCAAATCTATTAACAATGTAAAAAGATTTGTTATTTTAGATTGAGTGATCACAGAATTAATTTTGTTTTAAGTATTATAAAAAAATGTTGAAAAAAAGACATTACAAATTGATAAAATATTTTTCTTGATTTTAATTATGAATTTTTTGCTACTCGCTTCTTTTCATTTACGGTTCCTGTTAATAAATCTATTATATTTGAACGTATATTTATTTATCTTTTATTTAAAGATTTGATACGTTGTAAAAGATTTTTCAGGACAACTTTTAGCCAGCTTTACATCTATTTTATTATAACTAAATTTAAATAATACTTCATCGTATTTTTATTTTTAAATTATAATTCTTTAAACTGGTTTTAAACTTTTTGGCTCATCCTTCAGTCTTATTATATAAATTAATAGAATTTTTTAAATTAAAATATTTTATTATAAACTCTGAAATTAAGAAATTGATTTTAACAATAGCAACTTTAATCTTTAAATATTATTAAAAGATTATCTTTTAAACTCTTAAAAAGATTACACAATATTTGTTGACTATCATTCAATAATCTGTTTCGCTTTGCCAGTCGAGTTTTACTTTGCTTTGATTATTTTATATACCATTAAAGCATAAAATAAATGATATTAATGAATTAGAATAACTTTATTTGAAAATGATATGAATTTGTAATCCGGCAAGATTTAACAATCCAATTAAATTTGGTTAAAATATTGATCCTCGCAGAATATTTGAGAAAATTATATATGTTTAATCATATTTTCATTTAAATTTATACCCATATTATATATGAAAACATGACAATATAAAAAACTTGTTTTAAATAAAAACGTTGAAAATTTTTGTTTGAAATTTCATAGTAAAATTGTTCTTGGATTAACTATTATTTTTTGTATGACTAATTTTACCTATACTTTAATATATAAAAGTGATTACATATGTATTATTTCTAACGTTAGCAATACAAAAGTATTTGATATTTAACTACAATGTAAGTATTATTTAAATTATATTATAAATATAATTCCTGGATATTTTCTGTCCATAAATATTATTTTGCTAACTTATAATGTTAGGTTTTTATCAATAAGAATGAAACTAAAACATATAATTTCTAATACATTGTAACAGCTATAGGAAATACATATTAATATGAAGTGAAACTAAAATTTTCATCTTAAATGAATATAAATAAGATAAATTTGCGGTTAAAAAATCATGATAAGGAAATTTTTAGAGCAAAAATCAAGGATAAAATTTTGTATTAATACAATTTTTAAAAACATTTATTAGAATTAATTACCCTACTTATTCAAACTTAACAAGAATCAACCTATTAAATAAAAATAATTCAATATTCAACTTAATATAACAAAATTGCGTTTCCGAATTAATATCATTTACGTCATTTAATATGAATTTTAATTAAATGAAAGTTTTTAACGTTAATGTTCCATGAATTTACAAATTATGAATAACTTAATATTTCTTGTAAAAAACAAATATTTATCAAATATACACTAACATTATCTTATCTATTTTCTACCCAATAAAGTACCAATATCACATATCAATACAGATTGATAGTACAATAGATTCAATACATCAATTATCCAAATTTTCAGTAACCTTTTTAAATTAAAGTACTATTAATAATAATAAAAATAATTAATATATAATATTAGTATTAAGGCAGTCCAAAAAACAATTTTTTAATGTTGTAATATAAATAAAAGAAATGTTATTTAACGTAATGATTTAGAACCTGTTATATAATATTTCTGTAATAATAAATATATTAATAAGTATATGGTTTTTCTTATAAATAATATCATGAATGATTATTGTTTAAAATGAATATAAATAAATCATTAATATATTAATAGATTTATTGAAGATTTAATATTAATAGTAAAATTACTAATAAGTTTAAACAAGAATTTCATTACAGAAAATTGCGACCTAATAAAATTAGATGACAATAATAAATGTTTGATAATTTTAATAAATAAAAATAATTATACTCTGAATTGAACAAAAAATGATTTTACGTACTCAGTAAATTATTTTATTATTAAAGCATTTTTATTAAAAATAATTAATTTACTTATCATAACAACAATAAAGAATTTTATAAATCTTTATAATTTTTATAATCATAATTAAAAGTACCTTAACATAATTAGATAAAGGTAAAAAGTATCTTTATAAAATAATCCTTTGAATGCAAATTGCAGTCAAAGTTTTTGGATTCTCTCAAGAATGCTAATACGTAGACTCCTTTTATATTTGTCATTTTTATTTAATTGAATTTATTTGTCTTAGTATTTTAAATAGATAGGATATAGTTGAAAACAAGTTTAAATATTGCATTGCCAGTTACTAAAGAATCAATACAAATATTATGTACTATCACTGTAGGAAACACATGCTTATAAATTCACATCACACACCTTACAGATGTCCCATTAGGCAACAAATAAACAAATTTCAAAATTTTAATTTATTTTAATTTGGATTAATAAGAAGAATGATAATTTTGAAAATAATTTTATACATATAGCCAGAATAGAGGTGACTAAAAAATGGTTAGTAATAAACCATGAATACACGAGAATTAAATGTTTAATTACATAAAATTACATTTAAATACTTTAAAGATATACGACTCCGCGTCTATTAAATTAAAATTAATAAAAATATTGTAATGTATTAATATCAATGTAAATATTAATATTTATTAAATTTTAAATTTCAGTATTTGTAAATATGTAAGTTTTCAGAAATGCAGTTGTT